GGCAAACCTGCAAAATCAGCAAGGGGTCAAATACTTATTTCCCCCACTGTATGTTGCATAACGGGTCGAGAAAGTTTAAATAAGTCTTGCATGCCGGTGTTTGCTATGAAGGTCCGGTTGTGTGGTAAAAAATCGTTGTAATGAACTGATATTTTAATGAAGGCAGTATCTTGCCAGTGGCAGGTGATGGATGAGTGTAGCGAAATACAAGCTTATAAATCATCCGGCGTTGGACGGACAAAACGGGCCCCCCCCCCCCCGGGACCCAACACCCGTAACCAAGAACCAAGGCTGTTTTTTTTGTTGTTGTCGGGGGGCTGTTAGCCTGTTCGGCTTTTGTTCGAACCCCTTCAGGAACACCCAGCGAGTTGTCAGCCCCAGATGTGACCGGCGACTTTTTGGCTTTTGCATGTTTAAAGGAAGACACAAGCCGCCCGAGACCTCTCCCCCCCCCCCCCCCCCCCCCCCCCCCCGCGGCCGGGTCAAGGTCAAGATGTGTGTGGAGCCCGAGTCATCAATCACGTGGATCGGTTTTCGGTGGCCGTGTGTCCCTCATCCATCACGCTGATGGCTTCCGCTGGCCGTGTGGCTCCGCGTCACCGTCGGGGTTATTAATGACCGGGAATGGAATTAATGAGCTGACCTGACCGCTCTCCTGCTGTCCCCCCCCCCTCGGCAGACGCTGACGGTCAGCGGAACACCTCATTGGTCGGTGTCTCAGGTATACTCGCGCGGATCATTTGTTACGATCTATTCTGTGCGTAAATGCAAACGTATGAAAATAGATTCGATTTCGATTTCTCAAAAGTTCCCAGTCGTGCAATCACTAATTTTAATTTTGTAACGTCATTGTCTGAACGTGTGTCTCTCTCTGTTTTTACTGCCTCAGGACGACAGATGTAAAATTAGCAACTATGCTAGAATCTGGCTCATTTACAATCTGTATGAGATTGTTCATTAATGTGCACTGTCCTGATTAAATAAAAAACAATAGGAAAGCCACTTTTTCCAGCGGGGGGAACTAAATTGCCCTCTCCCGGGAGAAAAGAACAGACACAAAATCTTCGGTTTCTCAAGGTGGAGAAGGAGAGGTCCTCCACCGGGCCCTGAGGGCCTGAAAACCGATCTCTTTTCTCTTTTGAAAGAGCTGCTTTGTGGAGACGCCTCTGACTGCTCTTCCGAGGGCTTTGCTCGCTGTCTGTTTTGACAAAAAAAAAGTTTTCATCGCTTTAAAGAAGATAAAGCGCCGTCCTGAAAGGGGCGAAAATGCCGCGGGTTTGAAAGTCATTCTTTTAGTCTCGTTATAAGAGAGGCGGTTGTTCTGTTTGGGCAGGTAGAGCTATTGTGTGCCCGTGTGCTGGGTGTTGCATTCCCGGGGCTTTTTTCTGGACGGCCATTGTGGCGCTGGTCTGCTCTCATGCTTTCGGTCCCCGGTGTACTGGATATACTCTGCCTGTTTATCTCCGCATGTGGGTCACAGAAGGTGGTGCAGCGTATGTGTGGGTGGATGTGTTTTTTTTTCATATTTTGGCGGCTCGTTTGAAGCCCGGCGTGTGGGTTTGTTGCCACTCGGAGATAAACACTTAGCTGGGTCGAAGCTGGCATCCACGTTTGATTTGATTAGTCTTTTTACACTCCGTTTTTTTCCAGACGACACTGTCGATTTCTGTCTTAATCAGAAGTCTAAGGAATCCCCACTACACGGACAGAACTGCTCATTAACCCCTTTTAGGCTCCCACCTCCTCCTCCAAACATGCCTCAGCTTAGAGCAGTTTTTTTCAACCTTTTTTGAGCCAAGGTACAGTTTTTCATTGGAAAAAATCTCGAGGCACACCACCAACCAAAAATGTTAAACAAATCTGTAGCCGCCTATAGTAACACTATAGTTATTCTTATTTTATTCTTATCGTGTCTTGAATATGAATCAAATAAACACAAAAATGTATTTTTATCATATTTTATATTTCTTCTTTCAAATTGCACTTAACATGTCCACTTCAATATGCAAAATTAAATACAAAATCTAGTCATAAGGAATTATTACATGATTACGCCACCAGTCACTAGTACAGCATAGACACTCAAAAATGGCATATTATTTGCAGAAAATTAATTCCTTATCAAAAACTTTTTTTAGACCAATTAGGTGAAATAGGATGATTTTCTACGGCCAGTGTTGGGGAGTAACGGATTACATGTAATGACGTTACGTAATTTATTTACAAAAAAAGAGTAACTGTAATTTGTTACAGGTACAGTGAGAGAATATGTAATTGAGTGACAGTTACTTCCGAAAATATTAAGAATTACAAATTTAGTTACATTTTTAAAAAAATATAAAGAAAAACCTTTGCAAAATATGCAACTCACTGATAGACGAAGCGTATTGATTTACTAATATTTGACTGTTTGGTGTTGATGCATGACAAACGTTTATCGATGTCTATGACCTAGCCTAGCCTAGCCCACCTAGCCTACCCAACTGTAGGGTGACCAAACGTCCTCTTTTTCCCGGACATGTC